GCCCACAGAGACGGGGCTCGAGTTGCAGGTGGAACGCGGGTACCTGTCACCCCGTTGTAGCCTGGAGGAGGGTACTCCCAACCCTCAGTCTTTCCACATGAAGTTTAAATGGTTCCTTAGTTAATGGTGCTTAGAACACGTGCTAGTCAGTTCTTCCAGGTACCTGCCTGGGATGTCCTCTGACTATAATGTCCTCTTCGGGCCTCCGTGGGCCCTGCAGGGACATGGTGCATATACAGACATTCAGGCAAAACATTTCCAGACATAAAATCAGTAAGTCTAAAATAAGTGAAAAATTTTCAATGAAGTATGTTGCCTTCTGAAGGTTGTTGCTCTCTGTTGCCAGGCATTCCAAATCTGATCACAGCCGACATGATCAAGGAAGGGGCAGCAGTCATCGATGTGGGCATAAACAGAGTTCAAGACCCTGCCACCGGAAAGCCCAAGTTGGTCGGAGATGTGGATTTTGAAGGTATTTAGTGTAATTTTTTGAAAACATAAATCTGTAAATATTACCTTTCATGGACATTTAAGACAGATCATTTTCTTTTCACGTAGTTTGTGGTTTATTTGTTTTGTTTTGAGACAAGGTCTCAGCAGGTAGCCTTGGCTGGCTAGGGACACTACGTAGACCAGGCTGGCCTTGAACTCACAGAGATCCACATGTCTCTGCCTCCTGAGTGCTGGGATTAAAGGTGTGTACCATCAATCTGGCTTTCTTCTTACCACTTTTAAGCTTGTATTGTTTTGGTAATATTGTTTCAAACACTTTTTTAAAAAAGTATGGTGTGTGTGCCGTTTGTATTCATGTTTGCATATGTGTGGATGCATTTCTGTGGAGACCTGAGGTTGACTCTGGGAGTCTTCCAGGATTGTTCTCCACCTTCTTCTAAAAGACGCCACCATACCTGGCCATACATGGTATTTTTTAAAAAATGGTGTGTATGTGTGTTGTGTATGTGTATGTTGTGTGGGTGTGTCTATTTGTGTTGTGTGTTGTGCGTGTGTTGTATATGTATGTTGGTGTGTGTATGTCTGTGTGTCACTGTGTGTGTATCCTTGGGTGTCTTCAGTTCATGACTGGGAGTGTTTACCTAGAACTTGCTAGTGTGTCCAGACTGGCTGACTAGCAAGCCCCAGGGGTCTGCTTATCTGTTCCCCAGCACTGGGGTGCAGGCATAGGCCACCACATCTGGCTTTTTCACTTGGGTTCTGAGTCTTGAACTCAGGTCCTCATTTGTACAGCCAGCGCCATATAAGTGAGCTGTTGCCCTGCCCTGTAGATGCGTAGATGCTGTTTTTCTTTTTCTTTCTTTTTTTTTTTTAAAAGAAAGAAAAGGTTTATTTTGTATGAGTATTTTGCCTGCATGTATGTATATGTGTACCATGTGTGTGCCTGGTGCCCACAGAGGTCAGAAGAGGTTGTCAGATCCCTTGGAACTGGAGTTATGGATGGATGGTTATGAGTCATCATGCTGGTGCTGGGAACCCAACCCACTTCCTCTGCAAGAGCAGCCAGTGCTCGAAACCTCTGAACCGTCTCTCCAACCCCATAGACGCTGTCTTTCTTAGCCACTCTGAAGCTGATGAAGGCTCTTAACATTTCTTATTCTTCATAATACGATAAGTACGTGTGATCTTTGCCACACATTTGAAGCAGCCGGCTTGTCTCGTTTCTATGCAGGAGTCAAGGAGAAAGCCGGTTACATCACTCCTGTCCCTGGGGGCGTTGGTCCCATGACGGTGGCCATGCTAATGAAGAACACCATTATTGCTGCCAAGAAAGTGCTGAGGCCTGAAGAGCTGGAGGTGCTGAAGCCCAAGCAGCGTGGAGTTGCCACCAACTAGCAGTGCTCCATGCCAGTCCGAGAGGCAACGTGGGCCAAGAGGAATGCAGTATTTTTAATTTATTCTGTTGAAATGGTTTAAAATGATGTTTGTATTTATTGAAAGCTTAAACGGGTGGATGTGTGTGCGCATGGCTCTGCAGAACCTCACCAGGGTGCCCATCCGAGTCCTGCCGTCGGCCTGGTGATGCACGGGACACATCCTCACACTGAGAGTGGATGCTGAACGGCATCGGAAAACCTGCCTTCTTAGACGCTCATTTCCCAAGTGCTATTTCAATACGAGTTGATGACTCACCCGAGGTTCCGAGCCTTCTGAGTTCAACTTTCAAACCAAAGGAAAACTGACTAGAGAAAATTAGGGGGAGGGAAGAAACGGCAGCCGAGTGGAGGACGGCACTCCCTTACTTCCCGGGCACCCCGGTGCACCCCGGGTTGTGAGCAGGTTTCTCTGAGGAGAGCTCAGTTGGCCGGGTTGGTAGAGGAAGGAAAGCCCGGCATGGCTAGCCGTCCCCCTGTGGCTGAGTCACCGGGGAAGCTTTAGGATTTCCTCACGGCTGTTACCCTTCTGTGAGCTTGCCCTACTTCAGTCTTTAGAATCACCAAGATCATTTTATAAATGATGTGTGTAGTTGTCCTGTTCGGCTTTTGCAGCACATTTAAACTTTAAACGTCAGACTGTTAGAGAGTGTGTGTCTGTTTTCTTTGGCATTAAGCTTTGAGGCCTACTTTTTTGAAAAACAAAACTTGGGTGTGATAATCAGGAGGGCAGACTGTGTGAAACTCACTTGCCACCCAAGAACTGACGGCAGCTCCCTGTGTGTCTTTCATGTACCCTGTTGGCTTTCCTGGAAGGTATTGAGGAGCTTGAGTTAATATAAGATTTAATCAGATTTCCTTATTGAAGGGTTTTGTTGCTGTTGTTGGTTTTGTTTTGTTTTTAAATAAAACACATCTGTCTGGTGTGAAATGAGTTTCTGAAATGCTGTCTTCTTCTGTCTCAGTCAGATCTAACCCATTACTGTTTCCTACCCATAGCTGTTCCTAGATCACACCCACTCCGTAAGGAGTTGTGGAGAAACCAGCCTAACCCTTTTGTATCTCAACACTCAGGTCCAAACCAAGAGTTTATTACATGTAAGTGATTCTGGGTCTCTTCTAAGCCATCCCCTCCACTTATGTATCACTCACTCCAAAGGACTTGCTTGCTTGCAAAATTCTCAACACACGTACCCTTGTTCTTCCACCAGTGGCTTTACTCTACACTTGTGGGTCTGTTTTAATGTAGATGAGTATTTGTCTGTGTGTATGTATGTGTGCCATGTGCATGCAGTACTTGTGGAGGCCAGGAGAGGGCCTTAGATCTGGAACTGAAGTTCACATTGTTGTGAGCCATCCTGAGAGTGCTGGGATGCAAACCCAGGTCCTCTGCAAAAGCATCAAGTGCCCTTAACTACTGAGCCATCTCTCCAGCTCCCTTGCTGGGGATATTTTATAAGTCAGGTGTGGTACATGCTACAGGACATAGCTGTTGATGTCCTTCAGTTATTAAACATGGCATAAAATAAGCAAGACACGCTGCACAGTGGTGGTGCACGCCTTTAATCCCAGCCCTCGGGAGGCAGAGGCAGGCGGATCTCTGTGAGTTCGAGGCCAGCCTGGTCTACAGAGCAAGATTCAGGACAGGCACCAAACCTACACAGAGAAACCCTGTCTCAGAAAAAAACAAAAGCAAACAAATAAAAAATATAAGCAAGACACGATTAAGTTTTATTGAAGTGCCGTTTACATTAGAAATGGAAAAAAAATATTCCTAAGTGAATGGCGACTACACCAACATGTTAAAGGCTGCTGAGGTTAAAATGTTCATTTATATACAAAATACAAGTGATATTTAAGGTCAAAATTACATGATTACATGATCAATTTACACCAACCTTTTAAAAGCGGGCTGGTTTCCCAGCTCGTGTGATTACTGGAGCACACCACCTCTGAGTATGTAACGACGCTACAGTTCAGTCTGGATAGAGTGCTAGTACAGACCAGCACAGCTTTGAAACGTGTATGCTGTTGTTGCCTTGGTACAGAGGAAGATAAACAATTTCATCTTGGGAAGGGTTTGGAAGAGCTGGGCAGTCTTCCCATCTGGGATGGTGTGTTTTCCAACCACTTGTATATAAAGTACTAGTTTTATTACGAACATTAGCTGCCTAGCAGGCAATGTTTGTGAGCTGGGAAATTTGGAACTTAGCTATTGCAAATATTGTTGTGGGGGGTAGATGGGGGTGGGGTGGGGCGGGGAGACCTACTCAAATGGATAACAAGTAGACTCCAGGTTATGAAGCCAGTGGCAAGTTTAAAGGGTCATTTGGCTGACCTAACGTGGCTTAAGAGTAGAGTTAAGCACTATTTTGTCTTAATCCACTCAGAGCCAGTTGAGGCACACGCCTTTAATCCACCCCAGAGACAGGTGGAGCTCTGAGCTCTGAGGCCAGCCTGGTCTGCAGAGGGAGTTCCAGGACAGCTGAGGGTACACAGTGAGTACCTATGTCAAACAAACAATCCACCCATGCACGGGTTCTTCCTTGAATAACTTTGGAACTGGCCGGGCCGTGTGTGGAAGGCCCAGCCACACTTCTAGAGGCAGGCCCACTGTACAGAGGACTCAACTTCAAGAGAACAAGGCAAACAGATGACTCAGCCATGTCCTAAGGTGCAAACCTCCAGAGCACACTCGGGCCTTCAAGTCATCTAGATTTCAATCTAACCTTTAAAAGATACTAGATCGGCAAATTTTTAAATAGAAGATACTAAGTCAGTATAGACTTGAAATGTAAGTCCACCAACTGCCCATTTATCTTACTTGTAACCTTGGAAAACATTTTTGTTCGTTTCAGAAGAAAGGTTATGTCTATGCTGGGTGGCCATGTGGTTCTGTGTGGGGTGTTTTAATAACTGCAAAGGAAGGGGAGAGGAGAGCTTCGTGTCTGTGTCGGATGTCACGGGAAGGCCTCCGGCTGTCTGTCTGGCCAGCGGGTAAGGAAACAAGTGAAGGGCTTGACACCCTCTAGATGAAGCCGGGGCCAGCCTTCACCCTGCCCTCAGCCCGGAAGAGCAGTGCTGTGCTAGAGGGTGGTCTCCCCGCCCACCTCTCTCCCACAGTCCTCATTGTCTGTGAAGTCAAGGTCGGACTCCATCTCTATCTTCACCTGCGGCACCATGAAGACTGGACTCCGTGAGTAGCTGAAAGCAGGTGAAGCCGGACAAGAGATTTTGAAGTGCAAGGTGATGCTGAGTAAGACAAACCAAGAAGAAAGAGTGAGTCTCGGGTTTGTTCAGCACCAGCCACAGAACAGGGGTCTAATGGGAAAGTTCTGTCTTTGCTTACCAGCTTATAATATTTTTTTATGTGTGTGGGTATTTTCTGCATGTATGTCTTTGCATCACACACGTGCAAGCTTTTTTTTTTTTTTTTTTTTTTTTTTAGAAAAAAATTATAAGCCAGGTAACGCTCTAGAGGCACAGATAGGTAGATCTGAGTTCAAGACCAATCTGGGCTACTTAAGTGAGACCCTGTCCCAGACGGATTATTTATTACATTTACTTACTTGTGGGTGTTTGGGGGCGGAGTACAAGAGTGGGTGTCGGAGGACAGTGAGGGAGCTGATTTTCTCCTGCCACCATGTAGGTCTCAGGGATTAAACTCAGATCACGGTTTGTTTGGTTTAGTTTGGTTTTTCAAGACAGGGTTTCTCTGTGTAGCCCTGGCTGTCCTGGAACTCATTCTGTAGAACAGGCTGGCCTCGAACTCACAGAGATCCTCTTGCCTCTGCCTCCCGAGTGCTAGGATTAAAGGTGTGGGTCACCGTTTCTTTGAACTCAGGTCACCGGGTTCCGTGGCAAGTGCCTTTACCTAGTGAGCCATCTTGCTGGCCTTTTTTTGTTTTTTGATACAGGGTCTCATGTAGCCTCAGACTTGCCTTGTAGCTAAGAATGCCCTTGAATTCCTGATTCTCCTGCCTCTGCCTCTCACAGCGGCATGGACTTAGTGCATCCGGGGACCCAGGTGTCCTCTATCTGCTGGGCTTCAGCCATTGCCATTGAATTGGTCCCAGCCTGTTTTAACCAAACGGCTGCCCAAGCCAGCTTTCTGAGTCATAAATCTGACTGTTCTGTTCTTATTGTTCCAAGGACAGCATCCAGACTCCAGAGCATGACAGACAGAGCCTGCTTGGTTTGAAATGGCCACTTTTCCAGTTGGATGGCCTATCAGTACGTGTGTGTGTGTGTGTGCTTTCAAATGTTGCCTTAGGCCTGTTCCCACGGCCCAGATGCCTTTCCTCCTCTGCTCTGGCCCAGTCTGTGCATCAGGCAGGTCTTTCTGTCCTGGATAAGGCTACTGTGATCAGCAGTCTTTATGTGTGCCCATGGTGCTGTGCCTTTGTCTACAAGTCCCTGTACAACTCTGAGGATGGCACCTCATGCCTGGCAGGTTTTTAAAAATTTATTATTTTATGTATATAAGTGGTTGCCTACATGTATGTCTCTACACCACATGTATACCTGGCACCTGAGAGTCCAGAACAGGGGCTCAGATCCCCTAGAACTAGAATTATAGATGGTTCCAAGCTGCCATGTGGATGCTAAAAACCAAACCTGGGTCCTCTGGAAAAGCTGCCAGTGAACTTAACCTGACAGCCATCTCACCAGCCACCCATCTCACCAGCCCCCCATCTCTCTAGCCCCCACCTCACCAGCCCCCATCTCACCAGCCCCCCATCTCACCAGCCCCCATCTCTCTAGCCCCCACCTCACCAGCCTCTCATCTCACCAGCCCCCATCTCACCAGCCCCCCATCTCTCTAGCCCCCATCCCTTTGACCCCCAGCCAGCCAGCCCCTCCCCCATCTCCTAGCCCCCCATCCCTCCAGCTTTGAGGCTTCATCAATGCCCAGCCAAGTCCTGTCACTGAGCTCTTTTCTCTCCGGAGAGAACGCCTCCTTCCCACTGTTCTCACAGATTTGGGGAAACACCAAGGCATATGGCAAGTGCCATCACCTGCTAACCAAAACCTCTGCACTTATTAACTGGTTCTGTGGCTCTGGGTAATTTTTCAGGTTTTTAAAAAAGTCCCTGTCTTGGTCCAGGCTCTTGCCTGCAGACGGAGTAGAGATCTGATTTAGTATAAGGTTTTTTTGTTTTGTTTTGTTTTTTAAATTTAAAGATGTATTCTGTGGGGAGATGGCTCTGGGGCTAAAGAGTGCTTTCTCTTGCCGGGGAATGCTCTTGCTTCCATGTTGGTGGCTCCTAACCACCTGGAACTCCAGTTCTGGAGGACCTGATGTCTTCTCTGGCCTCTACAGGCCACCCTGACACTGTGACACCCAAGCAGCTTGAGTCATATCCGGGACCTGCTATATGCAAGACTCTCTTCACGCATGGCACCTCATCAAGATCACCAAGGAATCAAATTGGTATGAGGGCTCTTGGCACCTTCCCTGAGGGGGGAAAAAAAATTTTTTTTTTCTGAGACAGGGTCTCATATAACCCAGGCTGGCCTTAACTTGCTCCAGACAATGGCCTTGAACTCTTGATCCTCCTGGCTCTGCTTCCTCAGTGCTGGATTATAGGAATGTAGCGCCGTTCTTGGTTTCACGGAGTTCTGGGGATTGAACCAGGGCTTCCTACATACTAGACCAGCATAACCACTGAGCTACCTCCCTAGTCCCTTTCCTGAGTGTTTCTGTCTCTACTTTCTAGTTCTTTTTCCTCAACCCCTTTTCTGTCCTGCGATAACTGACCCCACTCTTGATTATTCCTTAGAGTACCTCGTGTTTTGATCCTTTGTATTTACCCACCCAAGCTTTCAGTAACAGATAATTAAGCCATGTTTTCGCTGTTGTCTATGTTACTTTCTTTTTTCTGCGTTTACTTCCAGTACTCTGCAAGGTTTGCAGTAAGTTCCTTTTCTAAAGTTGAATTCCTTTGTGCATTGTAACCACGCTGACGACAAAGAGAACACACATTGATTACTTGATCTCCACAAGCAGATTGCTCACCACCTGTCTCCCAGTGGTGGGCCAGCAAAACTGGCCTAGTCTCTCAGGCCTTCAGCCATTGCCTAGTCTCTTATCTACCTCTCACGAGGCCCCACCCCTAGCCAAGAAGCTACCGGCAGCTTATGGCTGCTAGGGGAGGAAGTCATTTCCTTATGAGTGTACCCACTGAGAAGCTGGTCATGGCCCAGTCAATAAGCCCACACCCATGCACATGAAGAAGAAAAGTACCCGATGGCCTTTACCTTCGATCCAGTTCTGAGCCACTGAAGGAAGAGTCAGAATGAGTAACTCCAACTGGAAGATCTTTTTCCTGGGGGGAGATGGAAATGGCAGCTGTGAACGGGTCCAGGAGGGTTCAGGGGAACAGTCTAGCTCTCAGTACTTCCTCACGGTCTCCGTGTTCTGCTCTTCAATGCTGCAGTCAATGCTGCACATGAGGAAAACAGGGGGCCTCCCAGAGATGGGTGGCTTCAGGCTCAGTCCTTCACACAGGGGCTCTTAGCTCGCTAGGAAGGATTGGGGCATGGGGAGGGCAAGGACTAGAGAGGGTGACAGAAAGTGGGTTAGGTGAAAAAGGAACCTGAAGTGACCTTGTGCTATGGCGGAGAGCCCTCGAGGGCCCCCGAGGGTGCCGGCAGGATGTGCTGGCCACCCGGACCTGACCTGTCTTTGAGGAGAGTGACAAGTCCTGTGAGCAGAGCCCCAGGATCTGGACTCCATGGGATCTTTCAGAAGACTCCAAGGACAGGTTGGACTGTCTGTCACTAGGGAAGGATTAGAGGCTGTGAAGAATCTAGAATGCTCTTCGTGGGCAAAAGCTGATCCTTCCCAAGCAACTTCCCCATCAGCGGTAGCAGGCGCCCGTGGCTTTCACAGGCTCACAGCCTAATTTCAGGGCCGGAGTCGCCCAGCTGGGTCTCTAACGGGGAATGCTTAGCCCTGACTGGAGCTCTCAATCATGACAATTCCAGGAAAATGTGGGAGGCTCAGGGGCCACATTTGGACCGATGTGTTCTAAAACACTGGGGGGGAAGATGAACAGAGCCACGGGGTCCAAAGGAAAGTTAGGAATGGGGGGTCTTGTCTAAAGTGATGGCTGGAGGATGCTCTTTTATGGGGGGTGAGGTGTTTCCATAGGTGTGGCGTTCCTATGCTCTTGGCCAATCACTTTTATTTCTCCCCAGCACACGAGTCCTCGGCCTCTAAAACAATTAGACCACTGAGCTCCAGGGGAAGTCCCTTAGGGGAGTGGTGGACGATAGGCAGTGAGTAGGAAGGGAGAGAGAGCAGGTGCTTTACTTACTGGCAATGCAGTGGATACCGTTTTGGGGATCAGATGGGACACTTTCCATGGGGATCTTTATGACTGAGGGAGGAAGGAACTGGGGCTGGAGAAAAACAGTGGGAAAGCAGGTAAACACCAACACAAACACTCGGGGAAAGCATGTAAACACCAACACAACCACTCAGGCTTCCTCACTGAGACAGGAGATGCATGCGTGCGCAGTATAAGCCACTGTTCTCTTCCCACCCAGAGCAAGCAATGAGGGCCGCAGCAAACACCTGGGGCCCCTCTGGGCACCATGGCGCAGTAACCCACTGTTGTGGAGACCCAGGAGTCAGGAAGGAATTCAGCCAGGAATTTCACTCCCAACAGTTTAATCTGCCCTGTAAGCAGTCCCTGTGCGTGACTCACACTATAGTGCCCTTGTCATAAAGGCACCTTTAAAATGAGTTTCTGTGACTCGGATCTTGTTCTTCCACTGCATATATGTATCATAAAATGCAGAAGTGTTTTCTCTCAGACCTGGAGTAATTCCTGGCACATGAGAGTATCTCAGATGTTTACTGAAGAGATCAAAGAAAGAAAAAGCATTTGTCTAAAAAAAAAAAAAAAACTTGGTGGAGGGCAGGGCTGGAGAGATGGTTCAGCAGTTAAGAGCTCTGGCTGCGTGAGTTTGAGGCCAGCCTGAACTACCAAGTGAGTTCCAGGAAAGGCGCAAAGCTATATAGAGAAACCCTGTCTCGAAAAACCAAAAAAAAAAAAAAAAGAGCTCTGGCTGCACTTAGAGAAGGCTGGAGGTTGGTTCCCAGCACCCACATTGGGCAGCTCACAATCACCTCTAACTCCAGCTCCAGGAATCCAGCATTCTCTGCTGGCCTCCACAGGCACTCACATGCACATAGCATGATCAATCTTAAAATCAAATGAGACGATTGTTGGACTCTGCCCTTCCTTCCCTGAATCCTTCCTTCCTCCATAGACTGGCCTCAAATGCACTATGTGCCTGGGGATGCTCTTGAATTTCTGATCCTCCTGCCTCTACCTCCTAAGGGTTGGGATGACAGGTATGCATGCCCATGCCTGGTTTATAGGGCACTAGAAATCAAACCCAGAGCTTCATGCACACCAGGCAAGTGCCCTGCCAGCTGAGCTATATCCCCAGCCCAGAACATTTCTCCTTTTTTTTTTTTTTTTTTTTGGAAATTTATTTTTGCAAGGTTTTTACTGAAAAAAAAAAAAAGCTCATAAAATAAAATTGAGGGACCTCTCCTCTTGAAAGAAGCCAGCAATTAAGGATCAGGAAGCCATCACAGTTAAAGGACAACTTAAGCATTGCTCACCAGTTGGCAAGGATTTGCCTGTGAACAGTTTTCATTTGCAAGGGGTGAGATCCCTAGGACAGGGTAGGAGACTAGGGGAACTGGGCATGGTATCAGGAGAAGGCATGAGCAAAGTAGAAGTGGTTTTCTTAGTTCTCTTAGACAGTTGGCTACATGTCCATCTTGGGAGGTATTGTTCCCTTTGGGAAACAGTTGTCATCATTTGCAATGAGTGCTCGAATCAGAAAATCTTTCTGCCTAATGTTTTGAGATTTCCTATACAGTCTGGATTAACTCCTTGGCTCTTGAGTCTCTGTGGGTTTTAGGGCTGAGATACAAAAGGAACATGAGTAAGGAGAGGGGAAGGTGGGGTAACCAGGTGGTCATTCTACCTTCCGTGAAGACACGTGCCTCTCTCACGCCATCCCCAATACCCCGTGGGAGGCCCACGGCGACAGGGCAACCCACTTGGAGTCTAGGTTTGTTGTGAGTTCCCACTGGACACCTGCCACCCTAGGCCTACTCCTTTCTCTGGAGATCCTCCTTACAACTGCCTTCCATGTTGGAGCCTGTTCTGCCCCACACACTTGCCTTGCTGTTGAAAACGGTCCTGAGAACCCACAGTAAGAGGAGGGCGGGTGTGACCATCACCTGTTCCTAGGCAGGGAAGCTCACTAGCTCTGACCACCCTGAGGATATTCCCAGAAACAGATGGAGTCTCAGCACCCAAGACCACCACAGATGACATCCCTCCTGTGCCAGGTACTGTTGCAAGCCACCCAGAAAGCCACCCCGCACCCTGGCAGAAGTGGAGAGAGAGAGAGTCTCCCAGTCTCTGCCCTCTGCCCAGGCCACTCACTGTCCCCACCTCCTCGTCAGGGTTTTCATGGATCCCTTTCCTTTTCTTCTTCTTCTTGTCTGTCTCCTGTTTCTCCTTCTCTGGGAGGATGTTGTCAATCCAGGCCAGGTCGTGCTGGGAGAAAACCAAGTCCAGGAGCCTTCGAACAATGATAAGGCCCAGGATCTGGGGTGGGAAGACGGGCAGAAAGGCGGAAGTTTTGTGGGAGCTCAGAGGAAACTGTGAGCTTGTGTTTTCTCCTCAGTTGGCTGTGTTCAGGGACCTTTTGTGGCCAGTATCTTTGCAGCCATTCCAGTGTCCCCAAGACTAGCCAGTGAGCCCCAGAGACTGAAGCATCCCTAGTGCTGGGATTACAGCCAGTACCACCCTGCCCAGTGTCCATTCTTTTTTTTTTTTTTTTTTTTTCCGAGACAGGGTTTCTCTGTGTAGCTTTGCGCCTTTCCTGGAACTCGCTTTGGAGACCAGGCTGGCCTCGAACTCACAGATCCGCCTGCCTCTGCCTCCTGAGTGCTGGGATTAAAGGCGTGCGCCACCACCGCCCGGCACCAGTGTCCATTCTTAAGTTCGTGAATCTGCTCTCTGCCCGTCATGACCCATTCTTTTATGTGATGGAAGGTTTACTATTACACTTCTATTTCCAACCAGCTTGAAGTTCATCATGGGGAGCTTGGCTCTCTACTTTGTCTTACTTCTCCAATCCTGGCCCCATCCCTCTTGCCCACCAGGGAAGATTGGGTGACTTCTGCCTGCCCTGAACTCAGCATCTGGGCTGTCCCTGCAGGGTCCTGCTACTCTGGCACTTTTCTCTGTTCCCTGGCCCTGAACCCTCCTGGTGGCACTGCCCCACCCAGTCTGTTAAGGAGCGAACCCTCCTCACCATGACTGGGAAGATGATGGCGGCCATGGTTGACTTGAGGATCCAGAGTAGTGCCAGGCAGAGGATCTGCACCAGGGTGAACAGGTGGATCCGGCGAAGGGGTACATGGCGCAGGAAGGCATGGTCCGGCTGGTGCTTGGCTGGCATGAGGAAAAGCTTACAGCGTTCCCAGAACTGGTAAGAATACAGTATAGGTCTCAACCAGGAGGTCAGGCTCCAGGGCTGAAGGCTACAGATTAGAGGAAGTGATGACCTGGTAAGGCCTCTGAGAGGGGACTCCTAATCATGACAGGCTTTTAGGATCCAGGCATGTATAACACAGGGGAGGGGCCCTGAGCACTGGATAAAGGAAATAGCCTGGATAGTGACTAAAGGAATATGAACATGGTCCATATTTAAGGAAAAAGCAGCCAACTTAACAGTGGCACAAACTGCCCAGGGACCCTGGCCTCACAGTGAGCCAGAACAAGGCAAAATCTTTCCTTGTGTAGAGTAACTTTAGATTCATCAGAGTTAGCGTGACCTGCCTCAGTTTCTCCACCTGTAAAATATGGATCCAAGGGCCTAATCATACAGATTATATGACACCTGTAAAGTACCCAGTGTGGTCATTTTGTTGGCACAGTCAATGGAAGTGCATCATTCCATGATCCTCTCGTAGAACCAGGACAGTAAGCATTTAGAGTCTCGGTATCACACGACTAGACATGCAATGCTGACTCCGGGTCCCATCAGCCTGGGGAGGATACCACCTTACCTGGATGCCGTTGAGGGAGGCTACACCCATGTAGAGGAAGACGCCATAGAGCACTGGCATGGGGATGTACTGAAAGGAGAACAGAGGTTTGGGCTGGGGAGGGTCCTTGGCTATTTGATGATGGACAGTGGTGTTAGCCAAGCACAGAGGATGCTGGAGAGCGGACTTTGGAGGAGCTGAGGGTCTGAGAGCAGATCCAAAGCCAGAGGATGTGAGGGGGGCCATCAGGGTGGAACAGAACTCCTCCCACTTGGGTGGCCAAGCCAGCATGCAGCTGCCTTCCAGGACTGGCTGCTCTCCCAGCCACTCAGAACCTACACGATGTGAGTTACTCCTTCCAACAAGAGGGAGCTGCCCAGACTGAGCATTGACCCAGACTGAGCACTACTCAGTCTTACCAGATCCTTCCCACGTCTGCCTCAGCTGACCTGGGAACCTTGGGAAGCTGAGGAAGAGCCTGCCTTGCTCTCTCCAGGTGGTCCTGGGAGAACACTTTGGAAAGCACAGAGTTTGATACCAATACGGGTTGCCTAACTTATAGGTGCCATTTAATAATGTTGAGACAGTGGCTGGAGACATGGCTTGCAGTTAAGAGCACCAGCAGCCACTTCAGGTGCCTCACAGCCCCCTGTAACTCCAGCTCCAGGGGATCTCATGCCCTCTCCCGGCCTCTGCAGGCATCTGCATTCATGTGCACATATCCACACACAGATGCATACACACATACTTTTTAAAAGTAAAATAAATATTTAAAAGGAAAAGAGTGTCAAGACATCCAAGCAAGCAAGTGACCTCTTTTGAGTTAGACTGTTCAATATTTAAGCACTAAGAAAGATTTGAATCTAGATGTTGTAAACTTCAATCCCAAGGCATTTGAGCAAAAAGTTAAAAAGGGATTTAGATGGCCCTTGCATCTTCCTGCTAACACATGGCTTGTGGGAAATGTTTTAATTATAAAACAACATAAAAAGTCAATACGTTAACACTGTGCAAACTGCATTCAACATATGGGAGCAATTGAAAGAAAAGCTACAATAAGAAATAAAACGCCAGTATTGTGGCTCATCTGTGTGGGGGTTTTTGTTGTTTGTTTTGTTGGGGGGGCGTTGTTTGTTTGTTTTATTTTTTCAAGACAGGGTTTCTTCTGTAACAGTTCTGGCTGTCCTGGATCTCACTCTGTAGCCCAGGCTGGCCTCGAACTCACAGAGATCCGCCTGCCTCTGCCTCCCGAGTGCTGGGATTAAAGGTGTACGTTGCCGCCGCCTGGCGTGGCTCATCTTTGCAATCCCAACACTTGAGAGTCTGGGACAGCAGGATTGTGTGGAAAGTTTGAGACCAGCCTGGTTCACATCTCAAGTTCCAGGTCACTCAGGGGTTCACAGGAAGACATTAATTATCTTTAGCAAGGAAAGAACAAGGGTCGTGTGCTGGAGAGGTGGTTCAGTGATTTAGAACGCTTGCTGCTCCTCCAGAGGGCCTGAGCTGTGCTCTCAGTACTCACACTGGGTGGCTCACAACCGCCTGTAACTCCAGCTCCAGGGCGATCCACTGCCCTCCTCTGGCTTCTGACAGCGCCCAGACAATGTAGTATACACTCACACAGATATACACACATACACACAAATAAAAAGAAGTCTTTTAAAAAACTAAACAAGCCGGGCAGTGGTGGTTGGTGCATGCCTTTAATCCCAGCACTCAGAAGGCAGAGGCAGGTGGATCTCTGTTGAGTTCGAGGCCAGCCTGGTCTACAGAGCGAGATCCAGGACAGGCACCAAAACTACATGGAGAAACCCTGTCTTGAAAAACGAAACAAAACGAAACCAAACCAAACCAAAAACTAATCAAAATGAAGAAAACAGAGATTAGACGTGTGCCCCATTAGATATCCAACTGTGTCTGGTCTGTGTAGTGCAGGGATGGAATGAGAATGGACCCCAAGGGATCGAGGATGCTCGGCAAGCATCCTACCAGCTGAGCTACAGCCCTAGAATTTTGAAAACACAGCACCGGGAGCCCTGGGAAGTCCCTGACCCAGCCTCAGGGCACGGCAGTCCTTGTTGCCTCCTCACAGCTGCAGGGCCCATGCCAGCAGCATCCCAGCCTGCATGTCTGCTTCTTGGGCAGAACTCTCTCCAGCCCATTTTGTGGCTCTTGTGAGAGATTCAGTTGTCCGGTACTGGCGGGAAAGAACTTCATACTTTTGAAATCCTATCTTCAAAAAATATTTTTTTTTAATTTTAATTTTTTTTTTCCAGAGCTGAGGACCGAACCCAGGGCCTTGTGCTTGCTAGGCAAGCGCTCTACCACTGAGCTAAATCCTCAACACCTAAATTTTAATTTTTATGTGTGTGTGAGTGTATGCCACGTGTGTGTGGGTGCCCTCAGAGGCCACAAGAGGGGAGCTGGATTCCCTAGAATTGGAGTTACAGGTGGTTGGTTACGAGCTGCCAGTTGTGGGTGCTGGGATCCAAACGGAAGAGCAGGAAGCTCTCTTAACTACTGAGTCACCTCTCCAGCTGCCAAAGCCTTTATTTATAGGAAGGTGTAGACCTTGATATGCTCAAACCAGAAATCCTATGACTTACAGTCCTGATTCCCGATTGCAGATGGAACCCATTTCCTCAGCCATGCTTGGGAAGTACTGTGCCACTGAGCTCCATCCCAAGCCTCAGTTCAGTTCTTTTCTTTATGCTGCTATGGGCCTGATGCCCTGCACTAAGAACACAGACAACGTCAGTGTGGAACTGGATGTCAAAATTATGAGCACAAAAGACTGGCCATTATACACAGGATGTAATAGATGTGCCCATAAAAGAATCGATCCCATTGTAAATGGGATGAAAGAACAGAGACCATGGTAGAATTTTCTAGCTGCTTTGTGGTCAGTTCAAACACATAGAAAAAGGCCAGTGTGGGACGGCTAGATTGCTGGGTGTGCCCCACAGCTGGACTGGAGTCTGAGACTGTCCCTGGGAGATGGATGGGAGCTGCTGTCTGCAAAGTCACTAAATCACGCTCTTTTCAGACTAGTGGTTTTCTTGACATGAACACTTGTCAAACAGTATCAGGACAGACACTGATGGTTCTTTGGAGAGCTTTCCAGAAAAGTGACTATGCCCTGGACATTTAAAACACACTTTGGGGCCAGGGAAATGCCCAGTAAACACAGTCTCCTGTTGCTGAGCCTGACTATCCAAGTTCAACCCCCAGGACACATAAGGTGACAGGAGAAAACCACAAGTTGTGCTCTGACCTCCACACACATCACATACCACACATGCATGCACACACACACACACACACACACACACACACACACACACACACACAATGTGAAAATCTGGCATTCACGAGACCCTGAGTTGCATCCCTGGGACCATAAAAGTGGTTCTTGGTTTGCTTGTGATAGCATCAGGGCCTTGGGTGCGCTGGGTGAGCACCCCACCCCCGCGTTTCCCTCTAGGCAGGCACTCCACCGCTGCTCTGCGCCCCCAGTCTTCACTGCACTATTTATTCTGTGCCTAGGCCAGCACTGAACTCACTCTGTAGCACATGCTGGCCTTGAACTTGCGACTCTTCCTCATTTTCCCAAGTTATAGGCCTTGTGCTATTAGACCTGGCTGTTAAAAATGTGTTTTATTTTACTTGCATTCATTAAATCAATTTAAACATAATATACTATTTTTTTTTGGGGGGGGGACAGGGTTTCTCTGTGTAGCTTTGCGCCTTTCCTGGAACTCACTTGGTAGCCCAGGCTGGCCTCGAACTCACAGAGATC